GTCGCGTCTGAGGAGAGCGTTGGGTAGAGAGGGGAGTAGACGAGCTGGATGCGCTCGCGCCATATCTGACATCCTACCCCTCCCACGCATCCCTTCTCATTGCGCTGATTCTTGTCTATCCACCGACGGGTGTCCTAGCGGACCTGGATCACTTAGAAATTCGACTTGTAAATTGGCAGAGGAGGAGGTGACGAGCAGGAGGAAGAGGAGGATGAGGAAGGAGGAGAAGCAGAGGCAGGAGGAGTGGGAGGAGCAAGGGAGGGCGGATGAGGGAAGAAAGGGGGGGCGGCAATGACGGTGAAATCGGTGCCAGAACTGTGGCCCGCGCTGGGGCGAGAGCGCCACTCTGAACGTCGGGAGCAAAGCACCGATCCTGAAATGTGGCCAGCGCTGTAACGGAAGCAACATGTTGGAAAAGGCCGAGACTGCTCTGATTTGAACACAGCACACCGAAAACAACTCGGGACAACCCAGCGTAACATCAGCCGGCGCAGACTCCAGATTGACCAGCGAACTGAAATGAATTGGACTGGAGTGGATTCGAATAAACTGGACTGAAGTAGGCTGGACTGGACGGGGGTGGACTCTACTCCACTCGACTCGACTCGACTCCACTCTACTCTACTGTACTCTGCTCTGCTCAATTCTAACTTACCCGAACATACTCTACCATCAACCATACTCTACTCGACCATACTCTGCTATACTCTGTCGGACTCTACCCTATCCTACCCTGCCATACTCTTATGTATTAGATTGCACTCTACTCCTATTCCTACTCTACTCGCACCCTCCTCTATTCTAGCCTACCTGCTCTGCTCTACACTTCTCTTCCCTGTTATACGCGACTGTACTCGACCACCGACCCTACTCTACTCGATTCAGCTGTGCTCTACCCTTCTATACTCCGACCCACCCAATCCTGACCTACTCTACGTTACTAATTCCATCTCTATCCCCCATTAATATCGAGTCCAGCTCTCCGACGCAACCAGCCAATAGGGGCCCAATCCGAGACCCTCCATCTTACGTGCGAGAACAAGCACAGTCGACGATCTTCGCCTCAACATGGACAGTGCGTCGTCCATGCTGCAAGATGCAGGGCAGGAGTGGGGCGGCATGCACATCTTGCGCGAGAGGACCGAAATCTCGCTCTCGCCTCGGCGCCACGCTCACTTTCCAAGGAGTCGGCGCACATCTCTCGCACGCCGTTTCGGCGACGCGCGAACGGGCGAACTTGTAGTTTTCGCCTCGGCGCCGCGCAGACTTCGCACAAAATGCGGTTACCGCGTGTGCGCGGCAAATATTTTTTCGCTCGCCAACTCTTGGCGGGCCACTCAAAGGGGCGACTTGTCGCCCTCGCCCAAATTCCGTGCACATGTCGCTCGGGCGTGGTGTCCCGCGAAGGCATGGATCGTTCGCCGAATGGCCTGAAAACGACAGCGACAGCGGAGCCGCGCGAGAGCGGGCGAAATGCCGATCTCGCCCAAGCGCCGCGGAGCTTGCGAGTGAAAGTGGCAATGCTGTTCCAGCGCGGCGCATGCTTCGTGATCGCTGCGCCCGTCGGAAGTCTTGTCGTTCCCGCCTCCCGCCTGGACGAGGCGCGCACTTTTCGCGCGCGCGTGCGTCGACGCACGAGCGGACGGCATTCTAGCTCTCGCCCCGGCGCCGCGCAGATCTCGCCCGAGAGCAGCGAAATCCCGCTTCGACGCGGCGCACACCTCTCGCTCGCCACTGCTCGGGGGGGGGGCCCGCGCGAACGGGCGGCTCGTCGCCCTCGCCCGATTTCCGTGCACGTGTCGCTCGGAAGTGGCGTTCCAGCGCGGGCCCACCGGAAGCTGTGCCGCTCTCCCGCCCTGCGCGGCCCGCGCAACCTTCCCTTCGCCAAATCGTCGAAAGCAGGGCCGCGCGCGAGCGCCTTCCGTGTTCGAGGTGGGAACACGTTCCAATATGCGTATCAAGTTGCGCCACAACTTCTTACTATGCTGCGGGAGGGAAGGTGGGAATGGGAGGCGCCCTACAGTACGTATGACTCGTTCGACCTTGCTAAGTTCACTCCTAGCCCCACTCCGACTCCTACTCTACTCTACCCCGACGCTACTCCTAATATACTTTAAGCTACTCTGGTGTAGTACGCCCTACCCTACTCTACTGTATTCTGCTCCACTCTACTCATCTACCCTTCTTGTCTCTTCTCGACTCTACTCAGATCTACTGTACTCTACTTCTGAGCGTGACGAATGGAAGCCATGCATGGGGAATCATGCGGTTACGGAAGAGGCCATGCGGATAGCAGAGGGAGCCATGCAGATTGGTTTGACGATTGGTGGACGGTTGTTGGGAAGCCATTGGAACAGCCACAAGAAGCCATTGGAATAGCAGAGGAAGACATGCGGATACAGAGAAAGCCATCGGAATAGAAGGGGGAGTTGTGCGGATACAGAAGAAGCAATGCGGATGGCAGAGGAAGCCATGCGGGTGGCGGGTAGCGTGACGGTTGCAAGGGAAAAAATGGAGTGGGCAATGGACCAGTTCTCTACGCATGGAGCTACGGTTGATGGACAAGACTGTGCATCAACAACGTTCCGACGATCAAGAACCGAATTCCCCCCCCCTCCACCCCCGGGCTTTTATATTTGAATACATTGCGATCGAGATCTTGGGTTCCGATTTTTTCTGGCCGCTCATCTCCCGGACCATTTGCTCAATAGTAAAGCCTGGAGGGTGCGGGGGGGAGGTCGAAGTGGTCCCCCATCTCTTGATGCAAATATGTTTATTTCAACGGTAGGACTCCGATATACCAGCTGATCTGAATAATAAGAATAATAATAGGATGTGGCATAGCCGAGGGAGAACGAAGGTAGCACCAGGTGAGAGAAGCAGCTATTATATCGAGTCGTCGAGGCGGAGGACTCTCTCAATTGCTCGGTGGTTTTCCATGGCTCTGGGACGTTGTCGGATGCTCTTGGGTGGTTGTCGCGTGTTTCGGAGATGTCCTGTAGTCTCTGCATCGGGGCGATCGGGAGGGTCAGAATGAGGAGCCCGCGCACGTCGAGGCGGATGGCGGCTTCGTTGCTGACCGAAACACTACTTCAATGCCAGCATTGCACATGAGCATCGACTGAGCAACCCAGATCTCGACGATGGGGCCTCATCCCTTCCGACTGCTGGGGGTGGGGAGGTGATGACAGGGGAAGTGTGAGTAAGGTTATGGAATCTTCTAAGGGCGCAGCCCACCCACGCACCGCATCCAGGGGCGTGCATCCCCCCCTCCTCGTTCTCCGCCACCGTGCCCCCTGCCACGTTGGGGTGTGCTAGAATGCCGAATGCTGCCTGGCGGGGCTTCTGTACTAAAGGACCACCCCCGCTCTCGCACTGTAGCATCGAGATATGTGCATCACCCCCTCTTCCCGAGGTCACACCCCCGAAGCCAAGATGTCTCCAAGACTGCACAAAACGGCTCTAAGATGGCACCCATGTGACCACACGAGGGTCCAAGATGACCACAAAACGGTCCAAGAAACCTTCGAGGCGGTGTCCCAAGGGGGCTTCGAGGGGCAAACAGCAATGAATATGAAACGTGTTTCAGCGTGGTTGGGGTTCTCGCCTTCAGGAGCTCTCGACGTCCCAGGACGGCCCAAGAGGCCCCCAAGAGAGCCCGAAGACGACCGAATGGGGCTCCCAAGGAGGGCCAAGAGACGCCCACGACTGCCCAAGAGCCCCAAGAGGTTCCCAAGAAGGGCCCAAGAGGGTCCGCAGAGGCCCCCAAGACTGCCTCACAAGAGGCCAAGACTGCCACGAGACCGCCCAACAGAGATACGTGAGGGCTTCTCAGCTGGTAAAGACGAAAGGTGTCACGTGTGACGGCCTTCATCCTCCTCGTCCTCATCCTCTTCCTCCTGCTCATCCTTCACCTCCTCCTCCTCCTCCTCCTCCCTCCTCCCCTCCCCCTCCCCCTCCCCTCCCCTCCCCCTCCCCCTCCCCCCTCCCCCTCCCCCTCCCCCTCCCCCTCCCCCCCCCCCTCCCCCTCCCCCTCCCCCTCCCCCTCCTCCTCCTCCTCCTCCTCCTCCTCCTCCTCCTCCTCCTCCTCCACCTCCTCCTCCTCCTCCTCCTCCTCCTCCTCCTCCCTCCTCCTCCCTCCTCCTCCTCCTCCTCCTCCTACTCCTTCACATAAGCATCACCACCGCCACCACCATAATGAGCATGCTCAATATCATGATCATGAACAGGATGAGGATCATGATCCTGGTCGTCATCATCATCATACCATCATCAGCATCATCATCAGCAGCATCAACAGCATCCTAATCAGCAACAGCATCATCATCACCCTAGCCACCACCGTCATCATCATAGTCATCAGCAGCATACTTGTCGCATTTAGCATCACCATCATCACCATCAAAATCGTCAGCATCATTATCATCATCATCGTAATCATCACCATCATCAACATCATCATCATCACCATCATCATAATCATCATCATCAGCATCATCAACATGATCATCGTCAACATGATCATCGTCAACATCGTCATCATCATCAGCAACATCATCATCAGCATCGTCATCGTCACCGTCGTCATCGTCGTCATCAGCCGAATCATCATCATCAAGCTCATCAGCATCATCATCACCATCACCATCATCATCATCATCATCATCATCATCATCGTCATCGTCATCATCATCATCATCATCATCGTCATCATCATCAACATCATCGTCATCGTCAGCAGCATTATCATCGCAACCACCATCATCGTCATCATCGTCATCGTCATCGTCACCGTCATCGCCGTCGTCATCATCATCGGCATGATCATCATCATCATCATCATCATCATCATCATCATCATCATCCTCACCATCATCAGCATCATCAGCATCACCATCGTCATCACCATCGTCATCATCATCATCATCATCATCATCATCATCATCATCATCATCATCATCATCATCATCATCATCATCATCATCATCAGCCCCGAACACCAGTACGCGTTCTCGTCCATCGAGTAGCACCGCATGCCCGGCTCTGTGCAGCACCTCGTGAGGAGGCAGTTCTCGCCGGGAGCAGAGCACGACCCAGGATTCTCCTGCACGGGAGATCCACAAGAGGGATGAAAAGGAAGAAGATGAGGAGGAGGAGGAGGAGGAGGAGGAGGGAGGCAGGATGGAGGATTGAGGAGGAGGAGTGAGCATCGTTTTAACTGATCCCTATCCCCACCGGCGTGGCCTGGGCCCCACTGGCCGACTTACCCTCTAGATGTGGATATAGGCTGCTCTCTTTAGATTTGAAAGGCATCTCCCCAACTGGGGTGGTGGGAAGGTGGGGATCGGGATGGGGATGGGGATGGGTTAAACGATACTGAGAAGGAGGATGGAGAGGGAGCAGGGAGGAAGAGGAGGCGGCAGTCATCTTGATAAACGTCGGGACAACTAGACGGAGGAGGAGTAGAAGAGGAGGAGTCGCCCGTCTTCATTCTGCTGCGCTCGCCTAGGTCTAAGCCGTTGGCCACAGCGCCCGAGTCGGTTGTCTACATCTTCCCCCACCAGACAGCAGCAGCTGAACAGCCTATGCCCGCTCAACGCTTTCAAGGGCGCCTAACTTCGCGCTTCGCGCTGCGCGATCGCGCAGCCCCCCAGGAGAGAAGAGAAGGATGAAGAGACATCGGAGACGAACCGCGAATCGCGAAGCGCGAACAACTTCGCGCCCTCGAAACAGCCCTTTCCTACCACGCCGTCTTCCGCTACACACACAAGATACTTCTCCCAATGGAGATGCACATGATCGCCGTGAGCGAGCTGCTGTCGGCTTGCACACGCTTCGCGGAAGCAGGACTTCCACCTCTGGTCAAAGACGTGGCCACCGCCACGGCTCTCAATATCCCGACCTACAGCTGGGGCTGGAGCAACATTCATCCATAGCAAAGGCTTTACGAACAACATTCGGAACAACCATGGTTGATACGACTACGACTGGTACAACAATGGCTGGGATGACAAACCATGTAACAACATTGGCTAGGACGACACTGGCTGGTGCAATACTCCGAACCCGAAGGGCAGCGACAGAGAAACGGACAAGACGCGGGTCGGCACACTGCTCACGGCCATGGAAAGGCTCACGAATCGGATGATATGCTTTTTCGTTCAAACCGTGGTCTGGGCACACCTTCCGACTCCTACCTTCCTGTTCAGCCTGAGTTTGCCCCTCGGGAGCCCGAGGTGCTCAACCCTTTCACGGTGTTCGACGCCGCTCCCGAGGCCGAGCGTGCACAAGGCATCCTCTGAAGCTGCGGCTGCATTGCCTTCCTCGGCGCCACCCAGCCCTTCGACTCCGCCACTACCCATCGGTCGGAAGAAGTAGGTAGAAACATGAAGTAAGAAAGCGTTGAAATCAAATTGGGTTCCGTCCGCCCTCTAAGGAGGACGGAAAAGGTGAAGCCACTCGATCATTGAGGTAGGAAGGCGCTTAAAAATGATTTGAATCATGGAACTCCCCAAATACGTACTTTCAATGACCGATGGGTACTCTGGCCAGGCCGACAGTGTCGGGCTTCCCACACGCAAGGGCAGGAAGCAGGCCTCCGCGCTTGTCTCCGCGGCCGCATCCCCGCTCTTCGGCGGGCGAAGGGAGCTAGAGGCACTCCTATGTGATGGGCCCATTTTCCACCACCAGTACTATTAAGTCGGAGGGGGATGAAGAGCAGGAGGAGGAGGAGGAGGAACTCCTCATCCTCCCTTCTCCCCTTTCCTACATATGGCAGTGGTGGTGGAAAATTTGCCCATCACTACGCCTCTCCCAATCTGCACTGCGGACGAGCTGCGCCACCGCGCCGGCTACGAGATGGACCCCCAACGTACGGAGACCGACGAAAGGAAAGGCGAGGGCGACAACGGGAAGAGCAACGGGAAGAACCACGCCCCACTCTACGACCTCCCCGCCAGCCTGGGCAGCGGCGCCCACCAGCGCGTTGACCTACTGCAACCATGGAGATCCCAGGCGAAGCACTTACGTCTCAAACCTTGCCTGACCCTACGTTCGAGTTCGAGGAGAGCGTGATCTTCGACACCTTCCGGGCTCTTCGTCAGCATCGGCCACCTGTTTACGCCTGTCCACTGCAGGCAGGAAATTCCACCAGAAGGCTGTGGAGCACGTGCACCAGTTCCTGCTCGGAGAGTTCCACGTCAGTGTGACGCAGGGAGGACACTTCTGTGGCAACCAATGGGAGCCTCCAATTCCATCTTGCTGGCACTAGCGAGTTGACGCTAACTGACGCTAAGTCGACGCTCAGTCGACGCTAGTCCACGCTAAGTCGACGCTACTGGACGCTAAAGTAGCGCCATCTCATCGATTACAAAACGCTAATCGATGCTAACGCACTCTAAAGACGGTATTGTGAGGGTATACAAGGCTCCCATGATTTGCAACTTGCGACCGGAGGACACGAGGCCGCGCGGGACTTGGAGGAACTGTACACAGGACCTCGTCGATGCTCTCAGCATCAGCCTGCATCAGCATTCACAATTTGGCCCGGGAATGGAGTTCTGGGAACTCGAAGAACACGAAGTGGCCTACAGTTGGCTCCGGGCATTCAAAATCATGCCCAGGAATGGAGTTCTGGGAACTCGAAGAACACGAAGTGGCCTACAGTTGGCTGCGGGCATTCAATATCATGCCCAGGGATGGAGTTCTGGGAACTCGGAGACCACGAAGTGGCCTATAGTTGGCTCCGGGTCCTTATTTAGGGTTCCTTAGGTCAACGCCCCGACTGTAATGAACGAGGCGTGCACACGATTTCCCGGAGCTCCACGCGGATGTGTTGGAGCACGGCTCTGGCGCCGCGCCGCCCCACAGCCTGCGACGGACGGTCCGACGGCCAACCCCACGAGAAGCCCCCACGGCGGTCCCGGCAACCAGCGCGAGGCGCAAGACGGCGGGGCAGCCGCCAGGGTGCCCGAGCTGACGGCCGAGCAGCAGCAGGGGCACTGGCGCTGCGAGAGCTGCCAGCAGCAATACAGCGGATGCCAGTCCACAAGAAACCTTCCGCAAGTAACCCAACCCTGAGACCCCAGGGCGTCCGTTGATGTCTTGGTGTGGGAGCGTCACGCTTTCCATAGCAGAGCCATCGAAATCCAAGAAACCCAGGGCACCCTGGAGGCAAGCAGGGTGTTTCTTGGCATGGGCCCCCACTGTATAGGCCAGCACCGCCAGCGAGCTCGTCGTGTGCGAAGCCCGCGCGGCCCGGCTGCGGTGGCAAGACTGTCGAGTCGAGACGCCCTCGGCCATCAACTGGCACGCCAGGAAGGGTCAGGCCATGAAACAGGAATTCGGAGAGGCACTAACCAATGACGAGGGTCTGCCCTTTGACGACGCTGGATGCCCTGTGCCCAGAGATGACTGGCTTGTCCTTGGTCCTCAACATTTCGACCAACCGAGAAGTCGTGGTGCGCAGCCACCAGAGAGTGATGGCCAGAGGCTGCTGCGACGTCGCACCTTCTCGCAACAGTGGTGAGCCGCCACATAAACATGACATGGCCAGATGCTTGGGCAACCTGGGGCCACCGCGACGGCCGATATCAGCTCCTGGCCACGCCTTGCCTGGCCCCTCCCGAGACCTTGCGCGGAGTGCCCGTGCCGGTCAACGCCCGCCGCGTCCGCCGCCTGCCGCAGCGCGGCGCCTGGGCGGGACGGCGCGGGCTGCGCCCGCACATGCAGTGACGTGGGAAGATGTAAAAAGTGGAAGTTGGAAAGTCAGTGAAAGTGGAAGTGGCCAGGGCTGGAAAAACCGGCAGTGGGTGAAGCGAGCCCGTAACAATAAGGATGCGGTCGCCAGGGCTGGAGACAAGAAAGGGCTGGAAAGAGTGGACGGGCTGGCCCCAGCCACCTGTTCCAGCTTCCGTGAAGCTCTCCAGGCAACGGCGCAGCATCGAGGAAGCCCACTCGAGGGTGCGAGCCGCAGCCCTTGAGCGCCGGCTTGGGCCTCCTCGTGCCTGGCAGCTGCGGTGGGATGTGGCGGGACGGCCGCGGGAGTACGGGCGGTGGAGAACGCGCGCGCGCCCGTCGGGAATTCAGCGCCGCCGCCGAGAGCCACGCGCAGGAGGTCCTCATCCCGGTGGAGGCGGGGGGCCTCGCTCGGGCCGCGGGGGCCAGGGCGCCCTCGAGGGCGCAGAGTTATTCGCGCTGCGCGCTTCGCGGTTCGGCTCCGATTCCTCATCATCCCCCTCTTCTCCCCTGGGGGGCGGCACGAGAGCGCGAAGAGGGCGAAGGAGCCGGAGGGAAAAGGAGGAGGAGGTAGAGCACGTAGAAGAGGTAGAGGAGGAGGAGGGAGAGGAGGAGGAGGAGGAGGAGGAGGAGAAAGAGGAGGAGGAGAAAGAGGAGGAGGGGGGGAGGGGAGAGGAGGGGGGGAGGAGGAGGAGGAGTGGGGGTGGGAGCGGAAGGAATCGGAGGGGAGAGTGCATCTAGGTACAGCAGGCGCCACATCCACGTTTTGGGACCCCCCCGATCTCCAGCGGCGTCCGCTCCCCGAGCTCCGCGCAGCTCCAGGTGCTGCTCTTGTGGCAGATCGGCCTGCATGTCGCCCAATCCGCCACCATGCCGTAGGCATTGACTGGAGGGTCTCCGATTTTTGTAAGTACAGTCAAAACGTGTATGCAGGACGGGTGGAAGGACGCGAGACCATTGGAGGCCGAAATTGAGATTTGTCGGTACGCTGGCGACCCGTGAAAACGGCAAAGGACGGGCCGCAGAGGCAAGGACACAAGGGCACCCTAGATGAAGGCGCGCGTCCAGACTGTTGAACATTTTCTTATTCGGCGTTTCGACATTGGGCGGAAAGGGGGAGGGGGGGGGTTCTGGCTCCGGATCTCTGCTTGTTACGACTGTTGGCAACAGTGCGTCCTGTGGGGGAGACTCCACCTGCGTAAAACAGGCGCCCAAAACAGCAAAGATCCACTCCATAAGGGGGGGGAGGGGGAGGGGGTGTGAGGGCCCGCGCCGACCAGCAGAACAACGAGTAAGAAA